TTGGTGACGTGCGCAGATAAACTTGAAAGTTTTATGAAATGATGTGCGCCTAGCCGAAGCGGGCTCTTGGACTATTCATTTCAGCGACGTAGAGAGAAATAATAAACTGGACTACTATATTCCAATACGGAGGTGAGTTAATAATTTTTAGTATTAAAATAAGTGTATTACTATCGTCCAGGGGCATAATAATGACATACTCCTGGTAGAGACTCCTTTTTAGATGTATTCATGCATAATATTCAGTAAATTTTTTGAAGCATCTTCAAACGGAAGCCGAACTTTTTTTTTCATTATCGGTATTACTTTGTAGTTGACTTATTTTTTGTATGAACTATACCAATGCATGGGAACTTAATACACTGGGAAACGTATAAAAATTAATAATTTTTTGTCGTTTGGTTCATAAGTATTAAACACATACTAAAGTAACAATGGGTTCGTTCATCGTCATCAAACAGTTTACGAATCGGTAAAAGGTAAACGAGCAAACTCGAAACAGCTTTTTTGAAACAGTTTGTTAAAACGTAAAAGCGTAAATTATAGTCGCTTCTACGTTTAACAATCAAAAGTATGCGAAATGGGAACTAAAGAAAGGGTTCTGTGGCAGTGTTGTTTTCGCAAGTTGAAGTAAAATGCGTCTTAACATATTTTCCCGTAAAATAATTTCAATACCTGACTCAAAATGTTTGGAATAATAAATGATCCTAGGTTAATTTAAAGTACAAACTCTATAAAGATATGTCAAATTATTTCAAATTGCAACCCGTCCTTTGTTCGTTTATCGTCATCTAAAGTGACCATATTTTGAAAATTAGAAAGTGGGATAAATCAAAAACATTGAGATTAGGAGATTTTTTGTCAAAGAATTCTATTTTTTAAGTAGTGAGGATTCATTGGAGAGCAAAAAAACGTCACCATAATGGCTTAAAAGCGGGATAAAATCGGGACACATGTTAAATCGGGACTAGTGATTTAAAATCGAGATTGTCCGACCTAAAATGCATCTTGAATACGTTGCCAGAGTTGTTCCTCATTTTCTACAGGTTCCCTGTAAACTGTGGATTTCAGATGTCCCCATAAAAAGTAATCCATCGGTGTTAGGTCTGGGGAACGTGGTGACCAGTTTACAGGTGCGTCATTACCTCTGCCTATCTATTTGTGTGGATATTGTTCATTCAAGTGGTTTCTTACGATTAAAGAAAAATGTGGTGGAGCTCCATCTTGCATAAACCACATATCTCTCCGAAGTTGGAGAGGTAAATCTTCTAACAATTCTGGCAACGTATTTTGTAGAAAATCCAAATAATTTTCTCCAGTTAATCTTCGTGGAAGTATGACAGGACCAACAATGAAATTACCAATTATTCCAGCCCACACATTAATTTTGAATTCGTGCTGAAAATGGTTTACCTTTATTGCATGCGGATTTTAAACGGCATAAACATGTTCATTATGGGTATTAGTTATACCTCTTCTTGTAAAACCCGCTTCATTGGTAAAGAGAACCTTCTTGACAAAGTTTGGATCTCTTTCTCTTTGCATATTAACAAATCGACAAAAACCCAAATGAATTTGAGGATCATGGACTAATAATTCTTGTACTGGCTTCTTATGGTATGGATATAACAATTGTTCTCAAAGCACTTTATGAACGACATCTTTACTTACTCCTAGTTCCCTTCCAATTCGTCTGGTGCTTAATTCTGGATCTTCTTTAACACGTTCTAAAATGTCTTCTTCAACTTCAGGAATCCTTACAAAACGTTCTCTTCCATTATCAACAGTGTTGGGAGCAAAGGAACCGGTCTCCCGAAGACGTCTCTCAACAGCAGCAAAAGTTGGGTGGCTAGGTACACGACGATTTGGAAACCTTTCAGAGTACACCCTGACACTCTCTCGAGCATTTCCTTCACAAAATCCTAATGTCAGTAACATATCGGTATATTCTGCATTGGTATATTGTACAGCCATATTAATAAACCACGCATTTGTTTTTTTAATTATTGAGTCAGATAGAACACTTTCAATCGTTAACAAGAGATTAGTTATAAAACTTGACAATATTTTTATTTAGATGAAACTATGGAAACCAACAATAAATGTTTTTGTATACGTATTGCAGGCAAATAAATAATATTTTTCAAAAAATCGTACATGGCAAGAGTCGAGTATTTTTGTTAAAAGTCTCGATTAGAGTTGTTGAAGAAGATATGGAAAAAGTACATTTTTATGTTTTTCATCGTATAAAATTTTGTCCGATAATAATACATAAGCGTAGAACTTGATTTTTTAAATAATTGCACCTTTAAAAATTCTACGTCAATGGCAAAAAAGGGGTTTGAGTATGAAATTTGGATTGGGTACTCATTTACTACAAAAAAATACCCTTGATATCACTCGATTTACTTTCATGGTTTTGATAAAGTTTGTATTTTAATAATTATTGTTTATGTTCTAAAATTACTAAAATGCAAATTTCGTCAAAACCATGAGAGTAATCGAGTCTTATCAAGAGTACCTTTTTTAAAGTAAATGAGTTGCGAAATCTAAATTTTATACTCAAACTCAGTTTCATCCATTAGCGTAGAATTTTTAAAGGTGCAATTATTTAAAAAATCAAGTTCTACGCCTATGTATTATTATCGGACAAAATTTTAATACCGTTTTTTTTGCCACATAAAACTCTACCAATATACCAAATTTCAGCAAAATCGCATATGCCGTTTTAAATTTATATGGGAAAAACAATTTAAAAATTGTAACTTCAAGGCTCTCTGGAGCCCAAACGAAGCATTTTTGTACTAAGATAATTTTACTTAAATCGACTTATTTTGGTCTAAGGAATATGTGGTATGTTTTTGTAAAGACCTTTTACAGACACCCTGTATATTATTGTAGGTCCAGAAAAGGTGTTTTCAGTTTTTATTTTATTTTATTTTTATTTTTTCTTTATTTGGCTAGTTTGCTAAATCACAACATTCAAATTTAGTAAAAAATAATGTAATAATATTATAATAATTGTATTGTAGATATAAGCACTAATGACGCATTAAGGCCACAAATGCTTTGCAAAATAATTTTCTAAATAAAATTTTTAACGAAACAGGTAGGTACTTCCTTACTTACAATATTTTTCATTGTTAACGTTATCCACGTTCACATATCCACAATCTCTTATGCTTCTTTTTAAACATAAAATAGGACTGACATTTATTAGGAAATATAGTTTGTAAAATTTCCTAGGTGAATTTTTGTGACGCACTGTATGTATGTATTAATTATTCTCATAAAACTAAATAACGAAATAATAATTCTCCCACAATTTATCTGTCAATCTAGCGACCGTATTCGTTTCGCGCTTTTACCTTTTAACAGTTTGATTTTTGCTACGTGGGAGTGTACCCAACATCTTACATTATGTTCTTTGATTGTGTACAACAATGATTTTATAAGAGAATAATAAAATTCAAATTTACTTAATGTAATTAGATTAGAGAAAAATTGATGTTGGCTAATGAAAGAGAAGGTTAACGTTCTTAAAATGGTATAGTTATGATACGACGTAAGACAAGTAGATGGTACCAACAAACTGGAATTACCTATATTGCTTACCGTAAAATGGGGTGACTTGAAACAATTTTGACTTATTTAAAGCTGTAATTTAAGGATTTTAAGAAATTAGGCAATAAAAAAAATTGTCAGCTAAACTTTGGATCATAAAGAACAAATTCGAGACATTGCTAGAAGGGTTACCCCCACCACAAATTATAAAAAATAAATAAGCGTTGTTTCAAGTCATCCCAAAGTTGGGGTGACTTGAAACATTCATATATTTCGATTATAGTTTCAATTCTGCTAGACTTAGGATGACTTGAAACAATAAAATAAATAGTTTAAACACTTCCAAATTGCTACAACATCCACAATATTTTTTAAAGAAAGTTGCACAACTTAAAAATCTTTATTCAATTAACAGAACATAACAAAAAAAGCTATACTTATTTTCTTCTAATAATAAAAGTTTTATGACTTACAAAATACAGAAACAAAATACAGAACAAAAAACTAAACTTATTTTCTTATAAAAGTTTTATGACTAACAAAATACAGAAACAAAATACAGAACAAAAAACTAAACTTATTTTCTTATAATAATAAAAGTTTTATGGCTTAAAAGATAGACCCCTGATGCGTAAACTGCCTCTTCTGAGTGTCTCTACAGATTTTAACACTTCTTTAATTTCCTCTTGTAAGACAATTCCGATGTCTTCAATTGCCAGAAAAATGAATATATCGTGACTTTTTTGAGAACGTCTAAGAAATTTGCAAACATAGGAACTAGATTCTTCCGATAAAATTTTGGCCACATAATTTTTACCGGTGCCCTTGGTTGTCTTTAATGTTGCAGCCACATATTCTCCAACTAGAGAAATTGTTCTTGTTCCAAAATTTTCCTCGCCATTTTCGTTTTCATTATTGTTAATAACTTCTGAGGGAACACTTTGTTCGCCACCAGAAATTTCTTCTGCATCTTGTTCTTCTTCCGGGAGCGTATAATCGTTTTTCTTTTGTGTATCTTGCTTGGCCCTTTCCTTTCCAACTGTCTTTCTTTTCTTAACCTTTGGTTTCGGAACATTCTCCTTTTCTCAAAAAATATTGGATGGAAGATGGCCATATTTCGTAAATGCAACTCTGGCGCCATCTACCAACAAATAGTCACACTAGCAAGTTGCGCCTATTAGGACATAGATGGCGCAAATTAAAGTGTACTAAAAAGTGAAGAATAATTTTTTGGCCAAAAATAAAATCATGTGCGCCTGCAGTATTGAAACAGATTACAGAATTATGTTGTTATTTTTGGCCGAAAATTGATTTGAAATAATTAATAATCAGCTGAGTTGCTGAGTTATGTTTTTAAATAAGAACCTTCGACTCAAAGAGTTAAGGGGTGTTTGAACAAACAGAAGAATAATTGATTTATAATTCCTGTCAGCTGTCAGGGTTTGTGTTTTGATGGTTATGTTATGTTTATGTTCTAGTTTGTTTAGAAAACTGTTTTAATATGATTTTAATGATGTTTTTATCAAGATTGCTTGTTTAATTTTAAAACTTATTCAGGTCCTCAAATAAACTATGTGTTATTGTTATTCTTATCGTCCTTGAAAATATCTCAGAGAGAGCAAAATGACTGATACCAAAGTATTAAAAGTCGAAGAATTGTGCAGAATTTGTTTATTAAAAACAAACAATATGCGGCAACTTTTGAGTTCTTCTGGCGAAGTCTCTGATTTAATAGGCAAATTATCTTCATTAATAAACCAAGAGGTAAAAAGTAACATAATGTTTAAAAAGCTGTACTCAATAAAATTAGGCCAATCCTTGAATTAATAATTAACTGTTATTGGGAACTTATCACACAAGTACTACTAAAAAGAAAAAAATTGAATGTGATGAGATATTATTTTTCAAATGCATTGTATCCTCTTCACACTCTTCCCAGTGGCATCCTGCAGAAACTATCTCAATATTTTTAGATATAAATAAGAAAGGTTAACAAATCCGCCCACAATTGGATAGAGTTAGGGAATACAGGGAAGAAGGCAGTTAGAGATGTGTATTTCGTTCCTAATTTTAGCCTTTTAATTTTTTTAGATTGATGTAGCTGCTAATAAAATGCATCCCAATTATATATGTTCACAATGTGAAGCAAATTTGATTTCATCTTACGAATTCCAACAGTTAAGCTTGAAATCCCACAAAACCATCTTAGAATATACAATTCCAAATATTTTAGTAGATGTCAAACCATCTTTTCTTAATTTAGTGACTCTTGATTGTGATGACAAAGAAGTAAAAGAAGAAAATGATGGAACCGTAGAGGAAATTTCAGTAATATATGAAAACTCTGATAATGAAAAGGATGATAATTCCAGTGATGAGGATTATATAGCAGAGGATGACGAGGACCATGATAAACCTAAAAAAAGAGGAAATAAATCTCCAAAATCTAGATCTACTAAAAGAGTGTTTATTTGTAAAACTGAAGAAGTTAAAAAATGTATTAATGATGTTAAAACAAAGTTCTACACATCAAGAAATTGTTTATTTTGTGGATTTTTGGCCAACAATGTTAGAACACTTTCTGTCCACATGTCTAGACTTCATTGGTAAAACTTTATTTATTTTTTATAAAACTATTTTTTTATTTTAAATTTAACCCTTTCGGTCATACTGTATTCAATTGTATACATCGACTTTTTTATTTTTCCTAAATAAACTCAAGAGTTGTACATCTATCTCTTAATATTCTATGGTATAGTACACCTATAGATATTTGATTTAGCACATGTAGCGACATCTACATATTATATGGCGAACGTTATAAATATTTGTAAATGTCAGATCAGATGTGATTTAGGAGACACGTTGCAGAGTAATTTTTAATTGCCTAATCGAGGAAGTTCTGTGAATCACTGTGACTTTATATATTGTGGAATAAGGTTAAAAAACATTGCATTTTTACCTGATAAATTTATTTGATAGGTATTTTTTGTGATTTCTCCATAAACATTTTTAGAAAAGTGCTGTATTCAAATGAATACATTGTGACTCAAAGGACCGATTAGAGATGGTAAGCATATTTGTTTTTTTTTTTTTATTTTCTTTATTGATTTGGTATTTTTATTGAAGGCTTCAAAATTCAATAAAAGAAAGCCTTTGACCAACGAAGAGCTGCTGGATCTCATTGAAAATGGGTTGTCAGACATCGAATTTTTAAGCGATGATGACGATGAAGTAGAAGGGGTGGGGGCCGATATTTTTGACGAAAGTGAGGATGAAGGGCTGGAAGTTGGGCAAATGGCTTCAGAACCCCTTTCCGAGGAAGTTGATGAAACAATAGTCGAAATGGATCCAGATACTGAAGTTGCAGCTCTTGAAGGAAATATTGATGTTCCAATGTATGACGCAACTGAGCAAATGGAACTACCCAGAGAGAGAAAACAGAAAGAAAAAAAATAAAAAGAAGCAAGGATTGAAGTTTTTATGAAAAACAATAATTTGACGAAAAAGACAGATATAATTTGGATAAAGGATGCTACTTATATTTCTCCAAATGTCGATTGGTATGAAAAAAATATTCCATGTGATTCGGATGAACTAGAAAGTCATTATTTTTTTGAAAAATATTTTTCTGATGCTTTATTTTCACTTATTATTGAAAACACAAATTTATTTGCACTTCAGCAACAAACTAAATTTGCTCCCACAAATATAGATGAAATCAAAACTTTTGTAGGGATACACATAGTAATGGGTAATTGTCATTTTCCAAGAATAAGATGTTACTGGCAACCAAATTGCAGCATTCCTATAATTTCAAACTCTATGCCTATAAACCGTTTTTTCAAATTACGACAGCATACTCATTTTGTGAATGTTGAGGAAAAACCAGACAACAATAACAGATTATGGAAGATAAGGCCATTGTATGATGCTATTAGACAGAGATGCCTTTCCCTACCTTTAGAAACTGATCTCTGTATCGATGAGCAGATGATTCCCTTCAAAGGAAGCCTAAATATAAAACAATATATCAAAAATAAGCCCACCAAATGGGGTATAAAGGTACTAGCCCTATGTGGACGAAGTGGAATATTGTACGATTTTGTAATTTACCAAGGTGTAACGACAGAATTTATTCCCGAGCACATCGAAGTTTTTGGTTCATCTGGTGCAATTGTGACGACATTGGCACAGCGTATCATCAATCCCAATGTTCGTTTATATTTTGACAATTTCTTCAGCAATTATAACGTATTACAATATTTAAGAAACAAATCTATATATGCCTATTGTACCGCTCGTATTGACAGATTTAAGTCTCCGCCATTTTCATCTGATAAAATTATGAAAAAAAAGAGGCGCGGTTCTTTTGAGGAAGTCATAAGCAAAGATGGTATAATTATGACTAAATGGTTTGACAACAAAAGCGTGATACTTGCTTCAAATTATAGAGGTGTGGGAATGCCAGATACCTGCGTACGTTGGGACAAATCAGAGAAACAATATAAAGATGTTCCACGACCGGAAGTGGTAAAAGAATATAACGATTGCATGGGCGGAGTCGATAAATTAGATTTTCTTATCACATTATACCGGACGTTTATAAGATCACGAAAATGGACTATGCGTATGTTTACTCATGCAATAGATATCGCCTGTGCAAATGCTTGGCTGAAGTACAAAGAGCAAGCCAGTCGTTTAGGTATTTCTAAAAAAGATGTTCTGGATCTTCTTGGTTTTAGGGCTTACGTTGCAGAAGTACTAATAAAAGCCAATAAAACACCAGCAAGGAAAAAGGGACGTCCATCATCTGCTACCTCCAACCCACCAAGTCCCGCTCCCCCCTCTCCATCGACTTCTAGAGCTACCGAAATAAGACCAGTTTCGGAAATTCAGTTTGACCAACTTGGTCATTTTCCCAATTTTGATTCAAAAAAATTTGCATCTAGATGTAAAAATCTAGATTGTAAGGGACAAACTCGAGTAATTTGTATTAAATGCCAAGTACACTTATGTTTAAATAAGGAAAAAAACTGTTTTCTGAGTTTCCATGTCAAATAAATGTGATATAAAATAAAATCTAAAAAAAAACAGTATTTTTTGCACCAACCTCTTATACCTTTAAGTCACAATGTATTCAATTGAATACATGCTATAACTCGGAAACCTGTAATATATATTTTTTTTTCTTTTTACCAAAAATCAATAAAAAAATCATTCTTTTATAGTGCCAAAAATCAGATTTTTCCTATGGCTAGAAAAAATGCGTGACTGAAAGGGTTAATGCTAATTACATAAAGATGACAGATATATTAAACTAAATTTAACTTTGATACTAGAAAGGCAACCTTAAATTTGCTAATAAAATTCACTATTTAAATAAACTTCAAAAATAACTATAAATAAGTAATTATTAACTTTGAATTATTCTCCTCGAAGGATAAAAAAAATGAATTATGCCTTGTAGAAAAAAATAAATAGTCTTTTTTGATACCCTACACATACCTGCTTCTTCCTCATTATACTGTAACTTTAATTCATAGTTTTAATTTGAAAACTACTAATATGTAATGTAAATTGAAAGATGTAAAAAAAACAAAGGTTTATTCGAGGGGTAAATATATTGGGAATCTTGTGTACATATTTTAGGGATTTCTCTGGGTTTTCTTTGCCAACTCTCTATAAAAAGTGTTTTCCTGGTAACCCCCATAAAGGTCAGGAGGAAGGTGCAAAATAAAGTTATTGGAAAAATTAATAACAGTACAAAAATTTTATTTAAAAAAAGTCTACTGTAAAAATATTTTAACTTTAAAAAACTTCAAATGTCTATTGTTATTTTTTCATTTTTAAAAAATAATCCCTTCTAAAATTATAGGTTACTTATTTAATTAAAATGTAAGAAAATATTTGAAAACTTATTAAAATATAACTTTTTTAAGCACCCTGTATATTAATGCGTTAAGTCATTTGTTAACGAAATTAATTTAAAATTTGGCGTTAAATATTGTGCAGGTATAACTACAGTGTGTTGAATAATTAATTTGGCTACATATACATGGTGTTTATTAAGTACTTGTACAAACTTTAAATGGTGAATCTTTGACTTATTTTAAGGCAAAACGTTCATATGAACACATGTCCTAAACCTCTTAATTTTTGAGCTACAGGGTGGTAAAGTTTTCAGAAAAAAAAATTTTTTTTTCTAATAACTAAGAATATTGCAGATATTTTTACGAAATTTGGTACACGTCTCCTACGCATTATGGTGCATTTTTTAATGTACAAATAATTTAATTATTTCTACCAGTGGCGAACGTACGGGTTTCGTATTAAATATTTTTGCCGAAAAAAATAGTATGCCACTGCTTTATCTTAAAATAACAAATATTTTTGCAATCCTCATTTAGTTTTCGTCCGACGCATAGTATTCTGAATGGAACAAGTGAAAAATGTGTCTTTTATTGATCAATATTGTTATGTGATAAACTTAGATTATTTACAGACTAAGACTAAACTACTTTTACAAATAAGTTAATAACATTTACAACAATTGCTGAAAATGCCCGCCGCCTACTGCAACGCATGCGTCAATTCGCCTTAACATTAATTGACGTACTCTTTCGAATATACCTGGTGTCTGATTAATAATGGCACACGATTCAAATATCCTATTTCTTAGATCTTGCTCATTTTGAACGGATGTTTTGTAAACTAGTGTCTTTAAGTGACCCCACAGAAAAAAATCCAGAGGATTTAAATCTGGTGATCTGGGTGGCCAGGTTTGCGGTCCCGCTCTTCCTATCCAACGATTAGGATAATTCTCGTTCAGAAATTGACGTGCAGCCAAACAAAAGTGTGCCGGTACGCCATCGTGCATGAACCACATCATGTTTCTGGTAGCCAAATCAATTTCTTCTAAATGTTCAGGAAGCTCGTGCTCCAAAAATCTTCTGTACTCTTCGCCATTTAGCCTTTGTGGAAGAATGCAAGGTCCAATAAAGTGATCCCCGATAATTCCGACCCAAATATTTAGAGAAAAACGATCTTGGAAATTATTTTCTATGATAGCATTGGGATTATCCTCAGACCAGATATGGTTGTTGTGGAAGTTCATGATGACGTTTCGAGAAAAGGAAGCTTTGTCTGTAACAAGTACATGGCCTAAGAAATCCGGGGTTGTTAATGATTTATTTCGCAGCCAAACGCAGAAATCTACTCTGAGAGGAAAATCCCTAGGTAGTAATTTATTTATTTATTTATTTATTTATTTATTTATTTATTTATTTATTTATTTATTTATTTATTTATTTAATTATTTATTTATTTATTTATTTATTTATTTATTTATTTATTTATTTATTTATTTATTTTATTTATTTATTTATACAAGTTCATACAAGTTTATTAATAATGTAATTTCTGGAATATAAAACAGCAAGCGCCTAAATAATAATAAATTTATTGATATAGGTATACAAATAAAATAATAACAATTGTATTAGTTTAACACCAAACAAGGGCGGACACCAGCCTAAGCAACTTAATGCTTGTTTTGCGATGCCAGTCCTGTTTAGTGCTTTACAAAATATTATACTTGTTTTAA